TCGTACATGTTATAAAATGTTGTACATTATTCTGAGGCAAAGTTCTCCATTTATTTCATATATTATCAATGCATGTCCATTCACTAATACTGATGCACCCCAGTACACATGCAAACACAAGTTTCTTTGATTTCACACAATTTTACCAAGTCTGATGTTTAACTCTTTGAGGACGTGGCAGACAATGTATCCGATCAGGAGCAGAGCAAAGGCAATTTTGGGGCATATCGTATTTTGATCCATTTTTACAGAAATCAGAAACCGGAATTTGCATCTTTCTTAGTACATATATGTACATTAGGTTGTTGTGTGCCTTTTAAAGTTTCCAATAAAAAGAAAAGAAACTGAAAAATGAGTGGAGTCGTCCTTCGGATTTTTTACCCCTTTCCCCGGCAACTGGATGTAACACACCCAGGGACCCTGTTTCGGTATCGATATTTCTAACTACATACAAGACACAATGATAAGATTTTACGTAATAAGATTTTACGTAAGAGTTGAAATAAATGTGCTCAGCTCTCAAAATGATTTTTCAAAACAAACTTTATCACTTATGATCATTTTTGAAAATTTTACCCGATCCCTGGCAACCTGGGTGTAACACACCCGTACACTTTATATAGTGTAGAAAAATGTCTTTATCACAAGGGTAACAACCTTATTTGCTTTTAAAAAATTGTTTAATGTATACCATTCATGGATTGGTGAAGAATGGATAAAACTATAAGAAATAGATTTGGGTGGCACTTAAAGGTAGTACATTGTATTTCAACAAGATCGGTATGCAATATGTATGTGTGTGTATATATATATATCATACAGGCGCGCACACATACGAACACGGATGTCTGATAGGGGTCTTAATACGTCAAACGTATGTACCAATATTAGTATCAGTTTAAAAAAATATATAATTCAGAAAGTAGAATAATCAAACTATGTATATCATAGTCATAGTCTGTTAACATGGTGTAGCTCTATAGTCTCAAGATTTAAACCAAACAGTTTTTGGCAGGAAAGCACTGAATATTTCTTGTAATTAGTTTGATGCAGAGACTGCAGTTTGACGGTGTCATGTGGCCTCTTTTGTTTGGCAGGGCAGAAAGAACCAGCTGGGTTTCTTCTCATTCTGTCTGCCCTCTTTGTAGAATCATCCGCAGTATCCATCATTTTCTTTTTGTATATAGAGAAAGGCATCTGTTGGTGACAGGTCATGATCAGTAAATGGAGCACCATTTTTAGCCAGTTTCATGTTTTTACTTTGGGATCGTGCCCCAGGGAAAGGCTGAGAGTGAAGCAATGGGCTCTCTCATGCAGTACTTTGAAGTAAATAAGAGCTCAACAAACAAAGACGAGTTGTGTGTATTACACCCAGTCGCCAAAAATAAGATGGGTCAATATTTTCCTAAAATACATACGGGTGTGTTACACCCGGGTTGCCGGTTGAAGGGGTGCAAATAGGTTGCCGCGGAAAGGGTTAAAGAGCCTCGAAGTAGCGAGTCGTCAGTGAGTTATTCTTTAGTGACTATACGCGGGCGACTCTCATCGTAGGTGGAATATGTGAGGCAGCGTGGTGGAATCCAAGCTCTCGTCAAAATAATGAAATAGAAGGAAACAGCAGTTTTCTCCCTGCTTAGCAATTTTTATCAAATTTTTGTTTTTTTGTCTCAACACCTTTTATGTTCATTTACAAATATATCCCTTTGAGGATTTCACCAAAAACGTTGATTAAAGGCACAAAAATATAAATTTACAATTTCCATGGACTCTCCAGTTTTGGAATTTACCAATCTTTGGTGGCCATTTTCTCGCGAATTTTACCTCTTAAACCAGGTGACCCCCACCTCCTTCAATCCAAAATATCTCCCCTTCTATTGAAGATGGATGGGTAATTTTTTCATTGAAAGCAAGACAAATGAACAAGCTTTAAGATGATACCAATCAAAAATTGACGAGAGCCTGATTCCATCACGCTGCCTCACATATTATTATTAGGCCAACCCTCCACAGGAAGGCACACGGCACACCTCAGTTCTATTCCCGTGTAGGGAGATATTCTATCAATACTATAATCGATTATCTCGGTCTTTCTGTTCGTTGTACCCCTAGGCCGTCCAGCCCAGGTTGGCCAAGACAGACAGAGTCGAAGCCCGCCTCCTAAATTATCTAAACTGTTACGATAGGGGGGGGGGGGCGTAAAAGACTTTCATATCATACCGAGATCTCATCTGCCCAAGCTCAAAATTGTAAATGCCGTGACCTTGAACTACATGAACTTGAAACTTTTTACGTGGAATGGAATGGTGTGCCATGTTGTGGTTACCTTGAACTTTACTAAGAATTTCTGATCTTCCTGGATCAACCTTATCCTGTTGCGATTTTTTACCGGTATATGTTCATTTTTTAAATAATTTTCTGGTTTCATTTTTAAAAAATTAGAACAATGGATACGCCAGGATCTCTCTCTCTCTCTCTCTCTCTCTCTCTCTCTCTCTCTCTCTCTCTCTCTCTCTCTCTCTCTCTCTCGGAAAATAATGAAACAATACAATGTGCATGGTTTGTATTCTGTTTGTGGGTGGGAATCCAGGTCTGAGCCCTTTGGCGGTATCGGTTCAGTCATTATGATAATGTACACCGTAAAGTCAAATGTCCTCTCTGCGCTGTAGGCAGGATCTCAGCGTCTTGTTAGAAGCCATCACTGACGATCTCAACACATTCATTGATGAACTTTTTTTTTCCCTTAGAACATTAATTTTGAAATTCCCATAGAACAATAATAAAATCTCGATCCTGCGAGGAAAGCGGCACGGTATCCATCTTACTCATCGGCATTTAATTTTGAAGAACAGCGGTTCCAGTGCACGTCTATAGGTCTGCCTCCATGGTGAAGTAGTTTGTTTCGTTTTTACGAGTTTTACGTCATTTAAATTTAAAATACAATTAGAAATATAAAAGTACCAGAGATTAGAGGTAGAGGTGGTACAAGAGAGTAACACACACAAAAAGAAGGAGGACTTAAGGAGATAGATGTTTGATAGGGAAAAAGTAGCAAACCACACCAGCGCACCCGCCAGCCACCCTCGCCATCTTAGTAGCAAAACGCTCATCACCATGCAGCAAGTCAGCAAGCACAAGGCGAGAGTTTGATGCTCACACTAGACTCTATAGGAAGAGTGCCATTCGTCTTACTGCTGGGATGAATGCCACACAGTCTACTCTACAAAGTTAGTCTATGCTGGCTCGTTGTTCTTGTTGTTTTTTGACATGCTGGCTCGAAACAGTCGGCCTCCTTATCACTGCCTTTCTCAGTCTACATCAGCAGGACATAGGCTACGTACAGTTTCTACCTTTTCTTCTCCTGGGGTAGCCTCTTGGTATTAAATATGTGAGATGTGCTGACAAAATGAGTTACTTCTCGGATTTTAGCATGTATGTAAATTGATTCATCAATTTGATAGGTGAAGTTTGTACAATTTGTGAGCATGGAATAATAAAAGACACAGTAAACTTGAACAAAATGGCATCAATTGAAAATCTATAAATCTGACCCCAGTGTCGATTTCAGCCGATGTCTCCGTTCTTAGAACGTGAGAGGTAACTCATTTTGTCAGCACATCTTATTCTCACATATGTTACCATTAGCCATTAGTCCTTGCCTTCCCACTTTTCTGTACAGGTACATCATTCTGTGCGACTCCTAAGCTCCACGTGGCCTACCCCTTGATCTCTTACTCTGTGGATGCCAATCCAACACTTTCTCTGTCATGCGACTTCCTGAGACAAGAGTGAGGTTGAAGAAGATTCGTTGTTGGTAGTAATGGTAGACAACAGTTTCACGAGGTTTATTCATTAAGGAGGACAAGTAGCGTCCACGAGATACAATTTAAAGTTAAAGAACACCCATGGACGGTGAATATCACCACCTTTTTCACCAAATGATGGTTCAGTTTACCAAAAAATATTTCATTTTATTACACGAACGAATCTTTGTACATTTGACTACCTTTTGAAGAAGGCAGAATCTTCAACCAAGAGCGTGTCACGAATCACGACTACTGTACCCACACACACGCGTTGACTAATGTACGCTTACACTTACAGAAAAGAGTGTGTCACATTACATTTGTATTTGCGCGGTCTCGCGCAGTTCAGACCAGGCGTGCGATGAGCGAAACCCGCCGCCACTATAAACACTAACGAACTCTGGATCCTGGTTTTCAGCAAGTCAGCCTCCAAAGTCTTCTAAATTGTGTAGACAGGGCTGTAAAACGGCTTAAGACCTCTGCATGATGTGGATATGACCCCTTCAGTGATCAGAACCAGATCCAACAATTCACTAATAGAAACCAGGCAGTTTGGTTTTGTAGTGGCTGAATACAAAATAACCATTTAAATTCCAGTGGAACTCAAATCTTACACCCAGTATAGTCGGTAAAACCAGTTTGTCGAGAAATGACGCGGCCAGTCAGATACTGATTGATATAATCACCACGAGTCAGAGATAGCCAGAAGTATAGCAGAAAGAACACAAGGCACTGAAATAAACTTCATCGCTTGCTTTTTCCTGTAACTAATTACTAGTCTAGCTCTAACCTTCCCACGTTTGATGCTTTCAATAACAAGTCACAGAGGTATACAATTCCAGCACTCAGCAATTTCAAGCTGCTATGCTCAGCAACACAGTTGCCAAGCAATGGAAGTTTCTTAGAATCAGAAGTGGTTCGATCCATTAAATGTTTTTTAACCTTCAGTGACAGCAAAATCAAGTTGTTTAAAAAAAAGGCTACCATCAATTCTGTGTTCAGAGTCGGAATAGAGCCACTTATTTCATGCCGATATATGATGTGTGCATCCATGTTGTGTGCATCCGACATAAAATTGAAGTTCAGGCTTCCACAGTGTAATTTAATGTTCCAGTAGGAACAACCATGACGGAGTAACTTGATCTGAAAAATGTCCATAAAACAAACTAAAAACTAAAATAAAGGAAAAAAACTGAGTTTTAAAATGTAAATTACTTCAACATTTATTTGACTCAACATGTCAGATTCATTGTGAATACCGTTCCTACATATCAAGTTACATTTTGTGTGTTTCCACACCATTTCAACACTATTCATATCATGTACAATGACAGTCATAATCTATGCATTTCATCATATTTCACATTCAGCCATACCTTAAGATTAGCACCTAAAAATATAGAAACATTCAATCACTCTTGCCATCCTTCACTTTATAGTCTATTTCTGATCAACCAATTTTAAAATAAATTTTTTTAAACTTTCAGTTTCCTTGGAGGCAATTATACTTCATAGCCAAAACAATGTTCTCAAAAAGGGAAAAGAATAGATTTTCCGATGCAGCTGAAATCCTAAATCTAAATGACGACTTTTAAGTTCATCACTATTTCACAACCATCAACAAGCATACCAAATGCAAATGACAAACTGAATGCATCATTCAAATTAATTTATGTAAAAAAGAACATCACATTTCAAATTTAAACGGCAGCATTTGAATCTGAAGATGCATCAGAAAGCACTTCGTATTGTGAGAACGAGGTGTCAACCACGTTTTTCTACCCAAGTAGAGGGTTAAAAATATTTATTTACAACTGAATGTAAGAAGTCCCTCTAGAAGAAAGGATAACGTACACAAATGAGATTGCAATTTATATCTGTGAATGGTCTTTCTCCCTCACAAATTCCTCTTTTACTATATGAATTCATGGTGTTACACCATCTATTTTGAAGCCACGTAGCTTAAATGAACAAGTCTTAATAATGATGGAAAATGAAAGCAGGAAAATCCTGCAGTACACACATTGACGCTCATCATTGTAAGTACCAAAGATGCCAATAGGATCAGCTTTAATCCTAAAAACTGTATCTTCTTATATTTCCAAAATTCCCATAGCCCAGATGACAATACAACAGTTTAATCTTCAAGACAAAAAGGTAAAAGGAGAATTGTCCAACACTTTCACCAGATCTATTAAAACATTTTTCACCTTTAAAAGCTCACATTTAGAATGCCACCTTTAAGATCAAGTACAAAACATTTTGAGTATTTTGGGTGGGACTTTTTGCTCGGCTTTATCTTGCATCAAGTACAGTAACAATACAGCAAGATGGTTGGAAAACTGTTCTCAACAGATTGATCTTTTAACGGAGTCATAAGAAAACTTTCACATACATTACAGTACAAAAAGCAGTTCAATGGCCATTTGAAGCAGTCTGTTATGTATAAAAATGCTGCTACTTCATGAATTGGAACAAGCCGCATCCTCGCGCCAGTCACCAAATTTCAACCGCACAGGGCCTCCCTGAACAGAAGCTTGATGATCCAGATGCGACCCTTTCAGCAGGTGAACTTGCTATCCCACTAGGGGCCAAGTTCGGCCTGCCCAATCTCCCTGGTTTGAATACAATCAGTTGGGGACCTCTAGTTTCTTGCAATGAGCTGACTTTGGAAAGTGATATGAGATGATCAGGGAAGACCGTTCACTGGTTGTCTACCACATGTGAGCTGGTTTGTGACCCAAACTTGAAGACAGCCCTGCTGGTCAATCTGCACTCGCAAAGGTCCTCGAAAACCTGGTTAGCTTCTTCAACTGGGAACACTTTGTACTGGGGAATCTCCACCTTTGAAGAAGAAAAAGAAGGAACAAACATTACAAACTTTGGCAGGAAAAAAATTTTTTAATGTTTGTTTCCAAAATATGTCAAGGAAGAGAAAGACATACGTCGTCCCCCACTAATTAAAAATTCATAATATAACAACATGTGAACTGTCATATCACTGACTGAATTGTCATTGGTAGTCCCACACACAGAGCTGTCGCTAGGAAAAAAAGTGAATTGGAAGAAGTTGGCTTATTTTTTATGATCACTTAATTTAGTTTGAGACATGACAAGTTATCAAGAGCTAGACATACTCCCTTTACATTTAAATAACGGTCTTGACTAAACCTGGGAATAAACATTCAAGAGCCAAAAAATAATGGCAAATAGAGTAACATCTTTTCTCCTTCACCTCAAAAAGAGGGTGGCACAAAAACCTTTCAAGCAGTGAAATGCACTGTAAATACAGTCAAGCAAGCACATAGTGATCACACACATGATGGTAAACAGATTTTCAAGTCCCAAATGTTTTCTTTTATGATGTACGCCCATATTATTTTTGGTATCTAAATCATGTAGGCCTACATATCCAAAAGACTTCTGCGTCCCACTGATTTTGCTCTATGTGTGTGCTAGACTGTATAATACAAATTTAAAAAATGACACTTACTGTTTTATCAGCAACAGCGTTGAGCAGATCCATGAGCTGGTTCAGGTTACCCTTGGGGATACCCACGATACTTTGTTGTTTGGCTGCGAGGGCATTGAGTGAGATGCTGGTTTCTGATGTGGAGTTTCCGCCAACCAAGATTAATCCCTCCTGACAAACAAAGCAAGAGCAAAGAATTCTTAAATCCTATTCAAAACGTAGTTTTAGTGACAAAAAATCATTTTAATACAATCAAATAAGACATTATTACGAATCTTATATCTCCAATTTATATCCCTCCTGCAAAACATAATTCTTCATTTCAACAAAGTACTCAGGACTACACTACATATCACATATATTTCAATTAGCTTTTTCTCCCCCATCTCCCCCCCCCCTTCTTTAAAAAGAGAAACAATGTATTCCTGATATATCCCAATAAATTTTTAATTGACTTTCCATACACTTAGTTTGTAGGTGTTTTACAGCATTATCAACTCAAGTTTTGGTAATATTCACTGTCTAAGGTGGTTTACATTTTCAATATCTTTGCACTTATATCCAGGACAAGGATAAAAAAACTACTCACTCTGTTGAGAACTTTGAGGGAGCGCTGCATGCTTCGGTGTGAGCCAACAAAGTCAATGATGACATCCACACCTCCGCGGCAGGAGTCCAGGGTGCGCTCAATGATGTACTGCTCATGATCCTCCTCGTTCCAGTGGATGATGTCTGTGCAACCATGGTCCTGGGCAGTGAGCAGTCTGTCAATGCTGTTGTCCGCAACAAACACACGGACGTTGCTGCAGTCACGGCCAATCAGGTACTGGGCAAGCTTGAGGGTCCACAGTGCAAGTCCGCCGCCTCCGACAACAAGAACGTTGACGCAAGCTGTGAAATAAGACAAAAGAAAATAATCCATGAGTCACTGGGGTCAAACTGGCCTTTTTTTTCAACTACATAAATATACATTCATAATCATAGAATAAAGTTTATATAAAGTGGCTATGGTTATAATTTTTTGTCTTTCAGGCCAACAATTATCTAAATCTTGGCTAAACGACAGAAGATGGAAGATGCAATAAGTCTCTATATTTTTAATGGAATGTTGAAGTTAAAGGGCGGCAGCAAGACAGACAAAGAAGAAGTCCATCAAACCTGCATATAGTACGCACAAGATGACATGGGCTGTTAGTACCCATAGTAAAGACTAGCTGCAATATATATAATGTCAATACGATCACCATAAATGCCACACTTACATTTCACTTTGCGGAGCTTCTCCACATGAGGCTTGGCACTGCAGACAGCCGCGTAAGCGGTGAGGGCACTGCCAGGCAACATGGCTGCAACTTCCAGGGGCACGCTGTTGGGGATCTGGACAACGCGAGCTGTGTCTTCCACGGGGATGAACTCGGCATATCCGGTGTTGGTGGTGTCCTCATCAGGCACAATCAGTACGCGGTCTCCCACTGTGTAGTTGCAGTTAGGCAGGTCATTGCCAATGTCATGGATGGTTCCAGCGATCTCATTTCCAGGGAACTGTGGGGTAAAACGCTTGCTTCTGGTCTTGCCTTCCAAATAGCAGGCACCAGCACACTCAATCTGTCGAGGGAAATGTTAGAGATCACTTAAAAACTGATTGAAACTCATTTGTGACTAAGCACCTAGCCTAGCCTTCAGGCTCCTAAACACAGTGTGAAAGGATTCAGATTTAGAGAAGTCAAAGGTAGCCTTGTTAGTTATACAATTATCTGAGAGACCTAACTTAAAATAAAGTACGACCGTCTGAGACACAAACATTAACAGCATAACAGAAGAAACTATTCACCAGGCTTACATTTAGGCCTATAGATAGCCTAAGACTACATTAATATAAGAATAAGAGATCATTTAACTTTCACCAAATTCAAAAGCTTTTAATTTTGAGTCAAGTTCTCACCTTGACAAGAAGGCCATCAGCAGGGGTGTTTGGAATGGGCATAGAGGAATGCACCTCTCCCAGACTGGAGGAAGACAGGAGGGAAGAGGACTGGAAGTCCTGGGACTGGACCATTGGTTCTCCGCTCAGTCTTCTCAGAGCCTCCAGCTCGTTCTGGTTAAGTCCGGCTTTGATCATGATTGCTTGTTAAACCTGAAATTAAAATGAAAAGAAAAAATACTTAAGCCTATCTTCTAGAATCTACTTCTTTAAAAATTTTAAAAATAATTAGATCTAGAATCTGTGAGATTTGGATTGCATAGCAACATGCATTTATCCTCCCTTCACAAGACAAAGTAAAGGCTCTTTCTGAAGGGGGTGTGGGGGAGGGGGGGGGAGTATTCCGAGTTACTAGAAGCTGGAACATTGGGACAAACTACAAACACACAGTAAGATTATCAAAATATGAAGACCAAGATACCCCAAGTCAAAGTAAATAATAAACCTGACTGGCCACCCTCGACCTTACAAAGGCCACTGACCCGTCATTATCGTGAAGTCACCCGTGACATTGAACTCGGCATGGCACAACAAGGCACAGACTACCCGCTTTCGTCAACTTCTTACCAAGGACACCGAATTGCAAGTCAGCAGGGCGATAAAGTTAAAGTAATTAAAAGAATAGATAAAAGTCTTTTGAATACTAAAGAGCGCGAAGTTGGAAAATGTACGAGTAAATTATGAAAGTGGTAGGCCTGTTCCTTTAGATCTTGCAGAGTATAACCCTCTTTAGCGGTTAATGTATGCAAGGTCATAAGGCATCCAATCAGCTGTCGCGTTGGGACAAAGCGCACAGCGCGTGCTACGACGAATCTAGGTCAAGTAGATTCTAGGTTACTCAAGGCAATGAGGACAGATTGAGCATAACATTATTTCACACAAACTAAACGCGAGACCTCTTGCGTCCTGGAACAAAACCACAATCTAGATCTACCTCTACAACAACCTCAGCTCTGTCACAGGGTGGACAGCTCAAACAGTAAAGTACCCAACAGTCCTAATCGGACATTCAGCTCCGCCCAACCCCCCCCCCCTTCCTCTTATAGAAGTGACAAAACCAATATGAACAATAATTACTATTCTAGATCTCTAGATCTAGATTTAGAGTCTAGAATCTAAATCTAGATCTAGATCTAGATCTAGATCTAAATCTAGATCTACTCAGCTTCTCTTGCTTCTGAATAACAATGTCATCATGTAGGGCAAGCCTTTGAATTATTTTGACGTGCTCCTTTCCTTTTGATGTCGATGGGTATCATCCTATTCTTTGAGATCAAGTGTAGACTAGATTCTTAATCTACTAGATCTAGATCTAAAACAAATTAAAATGTAAATGAAAATATACTCACTGTACGTGTAGGAATAATCCGGCGGGCAAAGTAAAATTCGTAATCCGTAGGCTAGTCGTGTCTGGGTACAATGTGAATTCTCTCGTTACTCCTCTTTCGGCTGCAATTCGTAGTCTGCTGGTCTGTGGTTCGCGGGCCTGGTTATATGGGGGTCGGGGAATCACGCAGTGTTCGCGTGCTGTACAGCTGGCCGACGAAAACGGGTTCGTGCTGAGGCCTTGGTGGGGCTCGAAAGGATATCACGGAAACTAGAATATAGGTGTGATGAGCTGACTTGTTTAGTAAGACATGAAGTTGAATAAAAATCTTTTAGAATATGTTCTAAATATATTAATTTTTGTTTTTAATCAATGAGATTGAAATTTATAGTTGCATGAAAACAAAATTCATAATTATACTTAGAGCTGTATACTATTTCCTTACGGTTCACACAGAGCGAGGGAAACCCATGCGCTGATCAGCTGATCGAAGGTTGTTTTGCTGTTGGCATGATTCATCTGGGGGCTTTGCCTGCTACTCTTTCTTTGTAGCACTGCGTGCGCATGGGTCGGGCGACCGACTTTCAGGATTGTCCGGATTATCGCACGTCAACATCTCCCTAGTTGCAAACAACACAATACATATTGTTGCTCATCGTGCAGTGGGCTATTCCTGTGAATGATGTCTATATCTTTGTAATTTCAGTTTCAGGATCATAAAAATAATCTCTCTCTCTCTCTCCCTCTCTCTCTCTCTCTCTCTCTCTCTCTCTCTCTCTCTCTCTCTCTCTCTC